TTCGTGCAATTAACCCAATTCAAGTTTTGTGCAAAAACGCATGATCGCACCGGCTCGCCTGGTGCGATCATGCGTTTTTTAGAATAATACCGTAGTATTTGAATTGTGCGCCTAAAATAAACGAGCGCTCATGCCAAAGAAATGATGTGGACATCTAGGTTGCCAACAGTCAGACCACAAGTCGAAGTGGCATTGGTCAGAGCAACTCAAAAAGTTGCCATCTACACAGATGATGTCGCGGAACACCAGTGAAAAGCCGACACCTGTTGATAGTGTATGCTACGCAAAATGCAGCAGTCAGACAGCATAGTGTGTATGTGAAAGTAATATATATAGAGTAATATATATTATATATATATATATATATATAGAAGATAGGTGCTTAAGCAAAGTGCGTGGCGTAGAACGGTTGGTGGTGTAGTTAGCACGTCATGTCTGCATGTGAAGGGAGGAAAATTGTTCCTTTCCTGTAGGTGTACAACCATTTTCGAAAAGGGGCTTCATTCAAGACAAATGGGGAAGTAGTTGTAACTCATTCCTCCTTCCTGATGTAGGCTGTTTCTGCATATTACGAATTTCACACACCGAAGGCGTGCACGCATTTCGGAAGTGTAAGTGAGCGATGTTATATCTGCTCTTACTTCAAAACCACTGCAAATGAGTTATTTTGCGTGGAGAAGATAACACAAAAATGCATGCTCTTTTTTTGACGTATAACAGTCAACGTTAGCAGATATGTGAGGTAGATATGGTATGTGAGTGAGATCTGATAAATCAGTACGTGAATCCGACCGCCTTCTTATCCCGCTTCGGTGTCTTCTTCCTCATCGTTATCATCGCCCTGCGTGCTGTCTTCCTGTTGTGAATCCAGGTGCTGGCGCAGCCAATGCTTCAGCTTGCGCCGTAACTGCTTTTCACCTTCATCACCTGAAAAAGAAACTTTTCATGCGATAGCCGAATTGATTTTTGGTTTGAAAGTATTCGGTCAGATTTGTCGCACAAATGTAATTAAATATTTTTTCAAAATCGGACACTTTTTTGACTTTTTACTGACTTTGAAATAAAGCAGCTGCTTTTTCATATCTGTAAGCTTTCGACTAACGCAGAAAAAACTAGCCACCAAATTTGCCGATGAAAAACTAAATGGATAGAGGACATGTATTCTGTTTACGATTTGAACTTCGACAGTCAATTTGCTTATTTCGTATTTAGAAAAATAAATAACTGGCCAACGCACGGGCTGTCCGTGCGAAGATGCGTTTTTTGCATAGTTTCCCGCAGTTTTAGTCGCTACCGGCATCGGTTTTTT